GCTCCTGATTGTTGAATTATGTACAACTTCCTCTATAAGCATTTGAGTAACACCACAATTTGATTCGTGCTATAGGAAGCACACCCTACGCCACACAAGGACCACCTTACGGCTGCAATCCATACGAATGGCGATGCAATCATACCGGTCAGTGTATCCCAGACTACCAAATATGTGACGGATACTCCAACTGCTACTACGGGGAAGATGAAAGCGATTGTAATGGTAACTGTTACAGTAATTGCATGGTGTTCTAATCATGGAAAACAAAATTTTCAATGAATTATGCTACAGTTAATGAATATTTGCCATACTGTGTCAGTCGAACCCCCCCACATATAGATGGTGGATCATCGGGGGCCCGCATAATACTTTTGCAAGCTTCGTCCCATCTGCTGTGAGAGTAAAGAGAACTTTTGAAGATTTGCACTGCGTTACCATAGATCCCATCTTTATCCCAATAACAAATGAGGACAGCAACACCACATTTTAAACATTAGGGTGTTGTAATGCATTATGGCCGTTAGTAAATAGCAGTCGGTTCACCCCCAAGTCCGGGTTTTCTTCATTTAAAAGTCATCCTGTTGCTTTTGACACACAGCACAGTGCAACTCCTGAAGTCTGCTCTTCGAAGATTATTGATTCAAAATATTACCTCCTGGTCTGTATGTAGCGAAGTTTCAATGCATTGAAGCAGAGGCCAGTTTTGGAAGGACAAAGTTACGGTTATATCTGTTACACTGTAAAAAGGCGTTAGTGGTTACTTTTTGAGTATGATTTATCCGCTCGTATTTAAACATGTAAGACATTCGATTTTGGCGCCAAAGAATTTCATAATGAGGTATTAGCTGGCGGCAATGTTTTCATACTCAACACACTATAATACTGGGTAAACACAACGTGCATGTGGTTATAAGTGTGGCTCTATATGACGTTTTTCAAAGGGAACTAATGTCCGACATTTCAAGAATATGCAACGGAATGGAAAGACTTCTCTCAAGACTGGAGTGAAAACCATTTTCCCAGAATACAGTGTATATGATGGCCTATTAAAAGTGGTAGGCCTAGCTTGATCAACCTCCAGAAATAGCCAACTACGGAATAATAATATAATATACAAATCACGCCATATTGGCTTGTCGGTTTAGTTTTAGTTCGCCTTGTGGGTGGTAGCTCCTCCAAGGAAGGTCGCGTTGAGGTGTATTACCAAGGTCAGTGGGGGACGGTTTGTGACGATCATTGGGACGTTGCTGACGCTAACGTCGTCTGTCGCATGCTTGGCTTACCACCTGCAACCGTTGCCTGGGTTTTGGCCCACTTTGGCCAAGGATCTGGTCCGATTGCTCTCGATGATGTCAACTGCCGAGGCAACGAATCCAGTATAGCTGAATGTCAACATAGAGGCTGGTTTAGACACAATTGCGTACATAGAGAAGATGCGGGAGTTACTTGCGGCCAAGGAAATGGTGAGTTGAGACATCAGCCCAGTGGTTTCCCTACCATTGGTTTCCCTACCATTCCCTACCAAAACCAAAGTGAACTTGATTGCTGAACCAAGATCAGATTATTGTTCAGGAATCTCACAAGAGCGCTACTTGTTGTTCTTGAAAGAACCAAGTCACTAATGTCATGCGGAATACAGCTTACCTGATAGATCAGCTATTATTCAGAAGAAAACATTGTGTAAAAATGTATTTTCACGTTCTGTCATTTTTACCAACTCATACACACACACGGTCAGACTTATTGCCCTGTACAAAAACTGAATTTTATAGTGGTAGCGATTAGTAAGAGTAAAACGTTTGAAACCCTTTGCTTAAAACAGGTGGGTACTACACAGAAGGCCCACCTTACACCACCGAAGAACTCCCTCACGGATGCAATCCATACGAATGGCGATGCAATCACACCGGTCAGTGTATCCCAGACTACCAAAGATGTGACGGATACTCTAACTGCTACTACGGGGAAGATGAAAGCGATTGTAATGGTAACTGTTACAGTAATTGCATGGTGTTCTAACCAAGGAAAACAAGATTTTCAGTGCATTACGCTGCAGTTAATGAAGATTTGCCTTACTTTGTCAGTCGAACCCTCCCATGCACAGAAAGACGGTGGTTCATCTGAGGCCCGCATAATACTTTTGCAAGCTTCGTCCCATCTGCTGTGAGAGTAAAGAGAACTTTTGAAGATTTGCCCTGCATTACCATACATCCCATCATTATCCAAATAACAATTGAGAGCAGCAATATGACATTTTAAACAGGGTGTTTAGCGTGTTGTCATGTATTTAAGGTCTTTGTAAATAGAAGTAGGTTTAGCCCCAATCCAGCTTTTCTTTATTTAAAAGGTCATCCTGGTGCTTTCAACACACAACCCAGTGCAACTCTTGAAGTCCCCTCTTTGAAGATTATTGTTTCAAAATATTGCCTTCTGGTTTGAGTGTAAAGAACTTTGAATGCATTGAAGTAGAGGCCAGATTTGGAAGGACAAAGTTACGGTTATTTGTGTTACACAGTAAACATGAGTTAAGTGGATACTATTTGAGTATGACTTGTGAGCTCGTATTAAACATGTAAGACAAGCCATTTTGGCACCACAGAATTTAATAATGAGCTTTTAGATGGCAGCAGTCTTTTTCATACTCAACACACTACACTGGGTAAACACGATGTGAATAGGGTTATAAGTGTGGCTCTACGGGACGTTTTTCGAAGGGAACTAAAGTCCGATATTTCAACAGGGAACGCAACGGGATGTGAAGACTCCTCTCAAGACTGGCACGAAACCATTTTCCAAGAATACAGTGTATTCAATGGCCTCTTGAGAGTGGTTGGCTTAGGTTGATCAACCTTCAGAAATAGCCAACTCCGGATTAATAATATATTATACAAAAATCACACCATATTGGCCTGTTTGTTTAGTTTCAGTTCGCCTTGTGGGTGGTAGCTCCTACAGGGAAGGTCGCGTTGAGATGTACAACAATGGTCGCTGGGGGACGGTTTGTGACGATTATTGGGACATTCGTGACGCTAACGTCGTATGCCGTATGCTTGGCCTACCACCTGCAACCATTGCCTGGACAAATGCTTACTTCGGTCGAGGATCTGGTGCCATTGCTCTTGACGATGTCAACTGCCGAGGCAGTGAAATCATTATATCTGACTGTCAACACAGAGGCTGGTTTAGCCACAACTGCGGACATTCCGAAGATGCGGGAGTAACTTGCGGCCAAGGAACTGGTGAGTTGAGACATGAGCCCAGTGGTTTCCCTTCCATTTTGGAATTTGTCTCGCAGTCCAGCGACTTGGACTCTACAGCATTGCACCGATGTGCGTCTGCTGATAACTGACTATTAGCCGGATTTATCAATGCACTTATACGATTACTGTCAATTAATTAAGGAATATTTACCATAAAAGCTCATACATTAGGTTCAATCATCACAATTTTCTGGGATCACTTAGTAAGATTAAATATTTCAGAAAGATCACATGAGAAATGTTCGTAGGGTGAAACGAAAATATGATAACAATATGATAAGTAATATAAGATCTCCCTGACATTATGCTTTTGGTTAGGTTGTTAGTATCATGGGCAAGATGAACACAGCTGTTCTGGGATAGTTTCAACAACTACAGTTCCAACTCAGGAAATATTAAAGTGACGTTTGTTTCACACTAATCTAGCTAACTAAACGTAATTGGAAAATACCATTATGACATAGAGGAGAAGAATTCAGAGAGGCGTGGCTATTCAGCCCCGTATGTATATACATTTTAGTTACACTGCAATTTGATTCGTCTACAGTGAGCACAGACATTCCACCTTACACAACCGACGAACCCTCTTACGGCTGCAGTCCATACGAATGGCGATGCTATTACAACGATCAGTGTATTCCAAACTACCAGAGATGCGACGGATACCCCAACTGCTACTACGGGGAAGATGAATTCAACTGTCATGGTAAGTGGTCTTGATGGAGAGATTCCACACAAAAATACACGCAATTGACCTAATCATCACTGTGTATAGGAATCAAAGAATAGAGTCTTATTGGATCAAGGTACTGTTGGATTTTCTTTAAACAAATTGCTGTGTTTTCTTTAAAGATACTTTCCAAACAACGTGGGGCCAAGGTATCACGAAAAACATAACACTCTTGCAACGGTAAACGGCCTAAAAAGAGTTTTAAACCTTATCCCCCAACTAAACAAGACACGTTATGACTTCATTTCATCACAATGAGTTACGAAAAGTGAAACTCTTAATTTCGAACATAAGCCCCTAATTTTTGAATTATGTACAACTTCCTCTATTAACATTTTAGTAACACCACACTTTGATTCGTGCTATAGCAAGCTCAGACAGTCCACCTTACACCACCGAAGAACCGTCTTACGGTTGCCGTCCATACGAATGGCGATGCTATTACAACGGTCAGTGTATTCCAAACTACCAACGATGCGACGGATACCGTGACTGCTGCTACGGGGAAGACGAAAATGGCTGCAGCTGTGGTAATATTTACTTCGTTATTGTGCGAGTTTGCTCCCTTTCGACTCACTGCTGGGTACAAGTACACAAATAACTGTAATTTGCATACTATGGGTGTGGCAAATTATTTTTCCATTCTCCTCCCACAGCTTCCCAGAGCAAAAAGGACAAAGCTAAGCTGGACGCCCAACTTGAGCAGCTTTTGTGAAAGAGACGCCAGACGGGTCAAGATTAGATCCTGAAAGGTGAGATAATGCTGCCTCGTATCGAGTTATAGAAAGTATGTCATAAAATATGGAGTCTCACCAACGCTGTGTAATGTTTTGTTTTACGTTCAACTCTTACAAACCCGAAACAGCAGTAAAGAACAAATACTTTGAAGGAGATTTCGCCGTTTAATCGTTGTTTGCATGTCTGCTATCTCCTCCCTCTTCATCTAAGGTGCTTTTTCACTGTAGTTACCATAACTGGAATGCTTATCATTTTCATTCATTGCAGAAAACACAAGTTCCGGACCAGAACCTCACCAGGAAATGAAACTGACCAATGGCAAAGAAGAGGACTCCTATGTCCAGTCGATTGAACTTAGCATTAGTTATAAAGCAGTTAGTTCTTTCACTTTTGACTCTTGAATATGTTCTTAAATTTAATGTTCCAAGCCTTCAATTAGGGTTATAGATTTCAGTTGATCTACTCCAAATTCTCTTCTATTCAAACATCGAGAGGTACAATAGACAACTGTTTGTGTGGAATACATTGCCCAATAATTTGGAAGACATTAATGCAAATCCTGCCTTTCATCGTGAAGTGAAGCGACGCGTGTGCGTGGGTTCGGGGGTACGTGAGCCCTGAGCCCACGTTGGATGAGGTGTTATTCTCCAGTGAGAGACAGCCGGTCAATCAAAGTTGATGATGCTTGATCTTGGGTTTATTGATTTCCAGCCGTAACAAAAGCCCAGTCAGCACAAAATCCAGTTGTGACAAAATCCAGTTGTGACAAAATCTTGAATAAAAACAACATGTATCACGTGCACACAGTCATTATCTGTGATTGATATAATCATATATGATCCAATTTATAATTTATGAAGAAAATCTCACGGTTCAAGGATGTGGCCCAACATTAAAACCACCCAGCACTTCGCCCCAATCTCTGGATTAATTACATGTACTTGTTGTGCAGCATGCACTCAAGTGTTCAGCAATATGACATTAAATTTTAGCGTGAATAAATATGACAATAATGGCAGCACCAAGAGAGTAATTGTCTGCAAATAAAACCCATAACAATCGAAATGTGCAACGTTCTTTGTGCAGTTGTGTATCCCATTGACAGCTTGGAAAAGCACGCACAAACCGTAAGCCCTGGGTCAGGGGTCACAGCGGAAAAGTACCTCAGTTCATGTCGCATACACGCGCCGGTCTCCCCATGCCGTACTACATGCACGTGCAATGAATGACACAGGAAACAGGTGAGAAAAGGAACGTGACTGAAGTCGCTGGCAAAAAGTAAAATGTCCCCAATTTTCACACAAAACAAAATATATGGCATTCATGGAGGGATCACCAAAATACCCAGTGTCCACCTGCAAGTAGGAGATACCTACTTTTGCTTTCCAAATGAGGACACAAAAAAGAAGGAGGGGATAGAGTTTCCAGCCCAGTTGGTAGAGGAATCCGTCGACCCAGGCTTAAAGGAAACAAATTCCATCCATCAGCAGGCAAATGTTTTGTGAAATTTAGACTCTTTAAAAGGTAGATAACATAAAAGTATCAAACGCAAAAAGTGACGCATATTTAAAAAATCCCGACATAAAACAATCATGTACTACTTGGCAAACTCGGGTAAATGTTCATTTGTTTGAGCTTATTTGTTTTCAGTAAGATATCTTTATCTGCAGGTTTGTTCCGTAAATTGTTGGAATTATATCCCAAATTTTTTGCTAACTTCTAGAATGTCTGCATTTAGTTTCCTTAAACGAGGAAATAATCAATAAGGTTGAATGATGAGGGGCTTTCATTCACTTGAACAGAAAGGAAATCAATCACCGACTGTCTACATATCTGTGATCTTTAGAACCACGGCGTGTTCCCAAAACGGTTCAAGTTATAAGTCGCGGCAGATAGCATTTCCTGCCTAAAGACTGTTTGCTATAACTTGTTGCAGGGCACGTTTTGTAACAATTCATTAATAACAGGGAAAGTACTCTGATCAATATATAATTGGCGTAATATTATTATTATTGACGAGTAGTGTCTTTCTGCATAGCATGAATTCCGATGTGCCATTTTGTGGTCCATGGTCCACTTTTTGTTTTCCTTTGTAGAAATAAAAAGATAGCTTAAAGCGCGATTTCGTCTTGTCTAATCGAGTGCTTATTTTCTTTGATAATGTTGAGTTCTGAGTATTTCATGCTATTATTGATTCTTCATGCCTCTGGTCCCATTTTGCAAAAATTCCAAATAAAAATTAAAGACATAAACGTCAGTGTTCAATGATTATTTGAAACAAAGCTAGAGGAGACTACCTTTCAAGGACACTTTTTATAACACCAGTGGGTTTTCCATATGGATTAAATCAAAAGCAGAATATGAAGACATACACATAATTTAGATATGCATTTCTAGACGTTATAATACATGTACTTCCTATTTCTGAATATGGAAATCTCGAAAGGAAAACCTTAAAAATTGCTTCCCTTCGTCATTCAATTCAGTCACGTCTCTTACTTTTGTTTATGTTTTCTCGTACAAAAAAATCCCTCCAGGATAAGCCTCGGGTTTCACCTAGGATGCATGTGTTTCTGAAGTTGAATGCTTTGTTTCGATTTCTTTTGCACTGCTGTCATTTTTTTTTATCTCGTTGAGGTATGCAGTGATACATGTCTCAGATCGCCGTTCACTGACGTCACTGAAATATCACCGCCTACAGAAAGTATCAATGAATTGAGCCGTCAACTCCATCAAACATCAAATGTTAATCATCTCTCTCTTGTCAGGGACTCTGACGTGGGTTGCCTTGTAGGTGTGTACTCGATTATTTCTGGTATGCATGTAAGATGATTTGGCAGGCTAGTCAAGATAAGGGCCCCAGATCACTGTAACACAACTGCACCGTTCACCAACTTCCTAGATCTTTTAGACTCCATCTTTCGGTGTACTGCGAGAGTGAGGCAACAGCGACCAATTGAACGGCCCATACAGTCAGCGAAAGAAGGATTTGATTAGGATCAAGTATTTGATAAAACCGCCACCCGAACACCGATTATATTGTAGAGTATTTTACAGCAATCCACAAGTGCTGCATTACAAGGGCAATACATCCAGCATGTATAAGGCGACTTGGACCGTGTATGCATCAACGGGAACCACTCCAGCAGAGCTGGACATTTTGTTTTGCTCTTATTTGGTATGTTTGTTTCATAACAACACCGACGGATGCCCCGTGGGCGATCATTTCAAACGCCATCCCAAGCTGAGTGTCAATTCTTCAGAGCTGATGTTGAATGCCTCTTTCGCTGACTTTGAGACACACCAGGGTGTACGCAACCAAGCGTATATCGCCTTCAGTCACTCCCTGGTTTTCGTTAACGAGACGGACCTGAGTAAAGCCAGGAGCTACATTTATGATCCTACATCAACAGCAATATACGGCTATGTGCTACCGATCATTAAGTTGTTTGGATTACTTGGAATTCTCACATTTTACTTCATGGTATACAGGGTTCGTGAGATGCGCAACCTAACCAATTTTTACTTGGGCAGTTTGGCTGTTGCTGACTTGATGGTTCTCCTGACGAGCGGGAGTCTCTTGCAGTACGAAGCCTTAGTCACACGCACCTTCTCTAACAAGAACTACCTTGGGCCCTCCGCTGGTTTGGTATTTGATATTAAGACTCTGTTCACGCAAATAGCCATATTTGCTTCCCTGTTCTGCGTTGTTGTTGTTACTTATGAGAGGTACCTAGCCATTTGCCACCCTCTCAAGCACAAACATGTCCAAGGAATGAAGCGAGCCTTCCGCAGTGTGGTCTTTGCATGGTCGGCGTCTTTGGTCGTACCAGTGTTTGACTTTGCCATATTCAGAACATTAACTGAGGCGAGGTGTGTGGTTTTTCCCAACGATGAAGAGTTCGATAATCTGTCGGGCTTATTCCAACTGACCGCACTCGATATCAATTATGCTCGGGCCAAGGTTGTTTTCGAAAACATATCTTATCTTGTTGTTTACCTTGTGACCTTTGTAGCCAACGCAACTCTCAATGGATTAATCATCCATAAACTGTGGAATCCCAATTCTCCAGGTCGCTCCAGCAAACTGAGCGGTCTGCACCAAGTGACTCTGATGCTTGTACTTAACAGCACGGTCTGCTTTGCTACCCTGCTCCCCCTTACCGTCAGCTCCCTCACGAACACCTTCAAACCTGAAGCCGAGTTTGGCGACAAAGTCATAGCCATTCCTCCGCTATTTGTGGTCCTCAACTCGGCCATTAACACTGTTCTATTCAATGTGGGCAGCAGGAGGTACCGCAACGCGTTTCTAGAGGCTTTTAGATGCAGATCCCGAGAGAGGAAACCGCAGTCGAACGACATTGCACTCTAAAGATCAATCATGGGAGAACAACTTGCACCTTTTTGACATTAACATTACATCACGTACGGAAGAGTGTAAGCACCAACTCCAAAAATACTCTTCTGTAATGAATTGGATGACTAGGAAATTTAACCACGAACGTGGAAAGGATGTACCTTGCAAAGCATGCTAACAGTTTCTATCATGCTTAATATCAAGTCATGAATACTGCACACAGTACTGCATTTTCCAGCACTGAAAAGGCATACAATTGTAAGCCAAGTTAATTATAAAAGAAAATAGTGAGAATCCCTTCATGACCCTAAGTTTTTGATAGTGACTTTGACAGGCTACACACATTGGAAAAGGGTCGAACGCAATGCAAATGGCATTGTCAAAAGTTTCTATCAGCAAATCAGATTCAGCATTCAGAAGCTCGATCTTCCAGCATTGATTAATTAATCATGTTTTTTCAGCTTCGTGATCAATGATAAGTATGAATGTTTTATGAGTTTTTTTCTTTAAATTTTAATTTTTTTCGGGGGGGTATTCTGTTTTTCTGACAATGAATTGACGAGCGGATACTTCATGAAAATTTGAACAGCTAATACGGCAAGATATCAAACAAAAAACGGGTATAAATGAATGCGCGTTTTCGCTGAAAGCTCTTTGGCGGCCGCCTGCGATGTATTTGAAAAGAATGTCCCAATTAGTTCAGAAGAAAAGCGGGGGATGAGTCTACGCTCGTTTTGAAGACAGTCTGACCTTGAAAACTGCAAACAATGTGATGATTTCAACATTATGCTTGATGCACAGATTGGTGTAGGGGATGACTTTTCTTGCCATGGATATTGAACAATCGCGAGGGGGGGGGAACCTGACAATATCTGACACTATATAGTAGCAATTAGCGGTTTAGAGGGAATAAACAGTTTGAAAAAAACAGTTTTTAAGACTCTACTCGGGCACAAAAATTGTGACCAGTTCAAGTTTGTCGACGTTATCCTATAATACACTGGGATTATGGCTTGTAACTTTTTCTGTAGCAAACGCTTGGTGTCGCCTGTAAAGGGAATGCACAGAGCTCAATAAATAGAGAGTACGGACATACATAAAAAAACCCAAAAAACCAACCAAACCTGGACGCGTTTGTATGAAACAGAAGCCAATAAGTGGCCATTTTTGTACCTATTAACGCCAGGCGAGCATTGCCTGCAAGCTTTGTATTCGGCTCGGTAAAATGGCTGCTGGTGGATTCAATGATCTCTATAAACTGATTACGGGAATTGCGAGTCCAGATTTTTTTTTTACATACAACTGTGAGAGAGAGTAGCCCCAAGGTCAGATTGTGGAGCCCTCATGGCTGTTTCTTCTCTGTGCAGTACATCATGCAGCTATTTTGTGCTAGTTGTCCATGTGCACTGACGAATAAGCCACCATTTAGGTTACACTAATTGAGACTCTCGTGTTGTAACTCTCTTTGTTAATAATTTTGAGAATACCCAGACCTGTTTATTGAGAGGGTTATGCATTGAGTGTCTCCATTGAACCAAAATAGTGGATGTGTCAGTGCACACATAAGGAACAGCCATTTTGGTTCCAAAGTCTGAAGTAGGCGCACCTCTCTGTATTAACAGCTCTAGTACCCAGAGACTGAGTGTTGTAACATGAGTGTCACAATAATTTGGACCCAAAATGGTGGGTTAGTGCATCGGAACACCGGCCCACAATAGCTGTTGCTGAACTGCACAGGTAACGAACACCCATTTTGGTTCCAAAGGCTAAGTTGGCACTGCTCTAGGCCTGAATGGGCTCTGAGAAGCCCCATTTATTGTAATTTGGCATATCCTCAGACTGTTGTAACTGCAAAAGAAAAAGATCTGCCCCTCGTCTTAGGATGACCACCCCTGTGCCCCCCCCCTTGAATTTTGGAGCCAACAGAACTCATGAATATACAACAATGACTGTCGAATGTTCACAGAGTTACAACTAGAGCATGTAGTGAATGTACATGTATATAATTATATACAATGGGTGTAGACCTATGCGATTCAGTGGTGTCTATGACAACACGACTCCAAAACTCTTAAAAGTTCGGACGAAAAGATGTGAACCTAGTACCAAATATACACCACAAGAAATGAGACGTACTCACCACAGATTTCGAGGAAATGTCCCACCAATAGTACTGACATCTCAAAGAGCTCGTTGTCAACAAAACAGCAAGCATCATAAAAACCAACGTCCCAAGAATGAAAGAGGCAGTCACGGGCCCAGCGCGCGAAAAACCATCGTGTGCCTTTGTAGACATAATTTGCATGTGAATGTGGGGGTTACGCTGGATGCGAATTGGTCCACCTAAATATAGCCTAGAATCTGAGCAACATAACCGTAAAGCAAAAAAAACCCGCGTGTCCCACATTACTTTCTAAAAGAAAGAAATATTGCAACAAATGAAATGAAATCAGCAGGATACTATTAGGATTACCTTGAAGCCCTGTAACGAAGCCCTGTAACCAAGCAGTGATGTGAAAATATATTTAAATCAACAAAATAAAAAAACTCTCGACCCATATTTAACAGTTCTGATACACAAAGGACCATGCATCACGTGGCAAACGTAATCTACATTCATTAGTATTTTGGTGCTCATTTTTTTAAAAAGGCGTTTATAATTTTCCCCTCATTTCTTTTAGTCATTTCAATTATCCCATTTTTTAAAACTAAATTCTACGTTGTGTTGTTTTTGCTTCGACGCAAATGCTCCCTGACGTTTTAGTTATCAATAGCTGTCTTTGTGAGGCTACTATTGAATTTGCACCGGGATGAAAGGAGTGTTAACATTTACAGAATTTGGGCACTTTTGTGGCGTCGAGAAATGCGTTGTTTGTGCCATTCAGCTCAACCTGAACTTTAACGAACTGTTTTCGACATTGAGCTTTTGTGTTATAATGAGCAGTTATAATGGTTGCAGTTTTGTTATAATGATAACGTTCGTTCTTCAGATCACATACAGTTGTGCTCAAAATGATTCATACCCTTTGGAAAATAACATAACTTTATAAATTCTTCATTTGTCAAGCAATTATGTAGGTACTTCCACTGTAATATATATATTTTGTTTATTTGTTGCAATACACAAGCCCACGTGTGTTGGCTAAACAACATCTGCATAATAGTAGATACGGCCTTGGCTTCTTTTTTGCTTCTAATCAGAATTATTCATACACCAGGTTTACATAGTTTATTCTTAATAGTCAATAGCGTGAAATTTAGAAAAGTACATTATTTTCCAAAGGTTATTGATTAATTTTGAGGACAGCTGTACTGGAACATTTGTTAACTATAAAGATCATTCCAACAAGGTACAAATATATGTTCGTCTTAAAATTGGAAACAATTTATATTTCAAGCAAAGGTCAAAAAATGGACTGCCTATTAGAAAGGAAAACACCTTTGCATGATAGCAGCATGTTAAGGCTAAAACCAGAACAAAGTGAGACTTCAAAACCTAAAGTAACACAATGATACATAAAGACAGACATCGTATCTAGGACACCCATGCTTATTATGATTTCAGTTTCACAGCATTGACTAACATAAAGAAAAGCTTTGCCTTTTGTCGGCCAGTTGATGGTATTTCGTTTTCTCTTTAATACTTCCTCGTAAAAATAAACCTAGGACAACTATCACGTCTCATCTGAGATGCATGCTCCAAAAATCTGACACATGCGAATTTATTTCGGTTTCTATTTAATTATGTGGGAATATGCCCGTATGAATTGTTTTCAAGTCCATTCCCTCATAAATATTCATATTCCATAACAAAATGCAACTAGTTCTTACATTTATTGCTCTCTAATGATATCATAAAGGCGTCTTTATAATAATTATAGGTGATATTTTATTTTGAAGAATTTTTATGGTACCTTTAACTTAACTCACTGAGCCTCCTTTTTGGTCACGAATATTTAAATTGCAAATGTGTAACATTGCCCCTGCCGATTTGGCACTTCGTGAGTAGCAGATCTTTCCGTTGTTGGCTTCCGATTGCGAGACACCGGCCTGAAAACAACGTAGCCACTTCTCCTTCAAATCTTGAATTTCTTAATTAAACAGATGATAGAGAAGATGTGTGTCATACGTGTTTCTTTACTGTATCGCTGTATATGGGGTGTTGTACTGTGTTTTTTGTTTGGCTTTCTTTTGTTTGTTTGGCTTCGATACGTTGGCTTGCGAGAGGGTTGGTTCTCAAGTGGCGAGGAATAAACCAAGAACCGAGTTCAGCCCTATTTGTCATTTCCAGTCCAACCCTTGAGAGTCAACACTCTGATCCCTACAGAGGATTGGACCCCTGTACCTGCTGGGTGCGCTGCATGCCGCCGGGCGTTTCCCTACAACAAATCAAGTGGAAGACACATCTGGAACTCGTGGCGTTTCGTGTGTAGTACACGGGCTAACAGTGAACATTGTTCAAGATTCGGCGTCTTCTGTTGCGCATGTTTGTTTTACTATGTAAACATGGCGCCTCTGACCTCATGTCTTCAGTTGCAGTTCGCATTTACTTTGGCTGCCTACTCCCCGAAAACATGTCCAAACGGGCGACCCTACACCACTGTTTTAAATGGAATGTGTGGGTAGCATACGTTAGCATTCCCGTGCAGTCTACTCGTGTTGAGGGCAGAAAAAAAGTATCCTGTTTGCCACTGAGTGTCACAAAGATTCACGTGTGTCTCTACATCGAAACTAAAACTTCCTATTTCCTGTCCAAAGTAATACAGGTTAAGTGAAAGTAAAAAGGATGCGATGGGCAATCAGCCTTGAGTGGAATTTTTCTTTTTTAACATTTTAGACAAAGCTATAAAGCACACAATTTGCTTTACCCGTGCACATCCATGTTCCCTTCTTGTTTATGAGTGACCAGAATTCTCATAGGCCTACACCTCCATCACGGGGCAGCCATTTTGATTTTCTACCATTTAAAGTAATTTAACCAAACTGAGGCTTGAAGAAAAAATCGTCGTGTGCATGGAACAAGGACCCAAGTGCTGGAAAGTATGATTACTACAAAAAATCCCGGCTAAGGAAATATGTATGCAACTGTTTTATTCTAATGAAATATAAAGCATGCTTTGCAAAAAGTTAAGAAAAGAAATTCCCAGTCACTTAATTAATAAGTTGTTCAAAGGTTGCCTTTTGTACAGCCGGTGTTAATTTTGTAGTAGATTTTATCCATTTTTACTAAATGAAAAGAATGTGCTTCTTACGCCCTATTTCTGGGAAGATGTTTTTCTGCTGTGATCATGCTTCATGGCAAAATAGCATAAGTGCTCACGCACTTTTGCCGGGCACATGACGAAATAGTCTGTTCCGTTTTATCACATGTGCAGTTGCATTATTGTTACCAGTAGGTCTACAGAGAACAAGATGGCATGGCAGCATCAGGGTGACAAAGGTCTATTGCCCTTGACCTTCGGCCTCGAGAAAAAGAACCCTCTTCCAGTAACTCACAGAATCGTCTCTCTCTTCATGTCCCTCATGTAAAACCCAAATACCAAGCTTTGTTTGGTCACCCAATAACTTACAAGTATCTCCAGGCTATCATCTCTCAAACACACAAATGCAACTGCATGTATATGCGGTAATAGGCAGCAACTCAGCATTCCATATCAAATATTAAAACTATATTATTGAGATCACGAAACCCGTCAAGAAATTAAGCCACAAATTTCAAATATTTAAAATGCGAAATATGGTCGCACCTTCTATAGATATTACTGTTACGACTTATTCCATCATGTTGATGTATTTAAATATTCACATAGACATTAGTATCATCCGTTTATTGCACGTTTCCTTTTCTATGATTAGCAGTATTTACACTGCCGTGTAACACCGTTGTCGCTAAGGGCGAGGAATTGCCACGCCATCCTCTTGTAGGTGTCCAACTACTTAGGATTTTTCATGTTTATGAACGTGTCACTCATCATTACGAAAATACCTTTTCATTGAAGGTTTATTCTTTT